CCCCAAAACCCCAAAACCCCAAAACCCCAGGACTTGAAAAAATAGAAATTAAAGGAAACAGATGATTTTAAATCAATGATCTATTAAAATGCCAATAGATATATTATAAGTTGAAATTTTTTAGGAAGCTTCTATATAATATTAGATCAGATTAAATTAATGAAAGAAACTACAAAGAAATAATCAGTGGATTGTCACTCTAATAATAAAACTGACAGATAAAAGACTGATTAAAAGGAAACTTACCAGTCCGGTGTCATCAAAATGCTAAATGACTCTAGATGAGAAGAATTATTTTCTTTTCTCAGGATAATACAAGGAGTTGCTCTGACGATGCTTACTATCAGGATGTTGAGATAAGACAATACTGAGAATATAGAAGTAAGAAATAGTGCCTACTTAAGACCTATTCTATGCTTGTTTTTACTAGAAATCGCAATATTTATCGGCAAAAGAAATATCAGAGGAATGAATTTCGTTGGCTTTATGGCCATAAATAGCAGTATAGCTATACAGTTTATGGTTTAATTCAAACTTGTCACTAATACCAAATAATTCCAACTTTACGACATGTAAGTTAATAAATAAAATTGCTCGCTCATAATCAAATTATATAGGACTCTCGTGCATGTAATGGTTCACATCTATATTTTCATGCTTCTTGATATCTCTTGGAAAGTCTCCATGATCAACTATACTTTGGCTTATACATTGTTCTATCTCGAACATGTCAAGATTCTCGGATATGAAAATGTGCCATAAAATGTTCTAACTGGCCTAATTCTATTCTTGTTTATATTGAAGAGATTCCTGGTATTTAAGGGTCGAATTGAGACATAACTTGATGATCTGTTCAAGGAAATAGCGGAAGTAAGAAATTAATTTGTAAATCTTGATTTAGGCAGAGAGAAGTACAAAGAATATTCTAGACATACTTCCGGAAGGAATATTGATATTTGACTCAAATTTTAAGAAATTAATGTATGCTAATGATTCAATGTTTAATATGGTATTCTCAAATAAAAAATAAAATTTTAATTCTGAGGCATCGTTTCAAAGTGCTAATTCAAAGTAAGTTATATCTCAACTCATTTTACTTAGTAATGATAGGAGTAACCAATCAGCATCTAATACTTAAAGTAATAAGTCTTTTATGCTAGAAGATTTGCAAGATTATGTAATTAATTGGGATATTAAGGTAAACATAGAGGGGGACTCAGATAGATAGATGGAATCTTCTCATTAGAGCTTACGATTCGTAGATTTCTTTTCAAAACTTAAAGAAAGAGTAATATTTCAAGTAAAGATCAAGAAACCATTGAGTATCCTGGCTGAAATACAAATTTAGAACTTTAATAAAGGGACTTAGAAATTGATTATGATAAGAGACATCACTATATTTAGGTAGAGAGAATAGGCTTAGGCTGAAAAATAGGTTTAAACTGTATTTTTTGCATCTGTCGCTCATGATCTAAGAACTCCTTTAAATTCACTATAAGCTTCTAATAATTCTCTACTTTCCAAATTTGAAGATTAAAACGTAGATTAAAGTCTAAAGAAGGTTCTTATGATCTAAAAAGGAAGCATTTAGTTCTTAATTAATATAGTAGAAGATATTATGGACTTGTCTAGATTCCAACTAGGGCAATTCTCTCTCAACTAAGAACAATTTGAATTCGATGACATTGTAGAAGAAATATTTTAGATGACTGAATTTTTAGCCAAATAAAAAAGAGTTTAGCTAATCAAGGAGATAAATATTAATGAAAAAATCATGATATACTCAGATAAAAAAAGAATAAAGTAGGTTTTGATAAATTTGGTAAATAATGCTCTGAAATTCACCCACCAAGGATATGTAAAAGTCAAAGCAAAAATCTAAAATTTGAACTAAGACCATTACAATGAGGAATTTAAAGATGATCAACAAGAGATTGATGTGAGATTTGATAGTGATATTTAATTAGATTTTCTTAACAGATTACAATCCTGTGATATATTAGACTATCCTTACAAGGCTGATAAGTATTAAAAAGCACAACTTATTGTTAAAGTTAAAGATACTGGAATCGGAATAAATTAAGTTGATTAAGATAACTTATTTAAAATATTTGGAAAACTTAAAAAGACTGAGCATATTAATCAACAGGGTGTTGGGCTTGGATTAAATATCTGCAAAAAGATTTGTGAATTCTTAGGCGGACAAATATCTGTCAAATCAGAAGAGAATAAAGGTACAACATTCACATTCACTATCAAAATTGAGATTCAAGAAAGCAGTAGATCCTTTTGTAATGGAATAAATTAGATTGGAAAATACAACACTCATTTTAATTGTACAAATCCTTTTGCAGTGGAATTTTCAAACTCTCAAAGATAATCTTTTTCTCACAAGCAAATACCTCTAATTAGTTTTATCAATATGGAATGCCCTGATAACGACTGTAAAAATATTTTAGTTGTTGATGATAATCATTTTAATATTATGGCTATGAATCTAATGATTGAGTAAATATACAAAGATATTTTTCCAAACTTGAATCCTAGAATAGAATCAGCTATTGATGGGATAGATGGATTGCAAAAGATGAGATTAGATAGTCAAAAGAAATGTTGTAGCTCTTGCTATTAATTAGTGTTTATTGATTTAAATATGCCCAAGATGGGAGGATTAGAAATGATGAAGCATATCAGATACCAATAAAATATCCAAGGATAATTTTAGAATTACAAAGAAACTAAATTTGTTCTAAGTACCGCTTAAAATGAGAGTACCGAAATTTCATATTCAGAGACAGGATTCAACTATTTTTGTAAGTATATCTTTAAATAACCTATTAATAGTATCTAAGCCAATAGATTTATCGATTCTTAAAGAGATTATAGTAGGATAATATGAAACTACATAATTTTGAAATAAAATATAACTTTTGAATTTTTATTTTAGTAAATTTTTATATATTATAGATCAATTAATTTAAATTAAAAATTTCAAAATAATAAATAATAAAATCAACAGCATAATTATTTAAAAGTAATGACTGCCTTATCGATCAATCGCTTGAAGTGGTTTCCTCATACCAAATATACATATACTAATCTATTATATCTTCTAACTAGAAATGTCCTTAAAATCTTTTGTATGGTCTTGAAGTTTACTTCAGAGTGCCCTTTATGTCTTTGAGTGACTCGTCATCTGTAGGAAAATCTAAAAAATTGAGACTGAGAAACCACATTTATTAATCATCATCCTATAAATATGCTTTTTAATTAAGCCATTCTTTTCAATGTGCCTCCCAATTCTAACTATACTTGCAAACTTTTTCCTATTTCAAGTTAAAATATATCTTCATTACTTGCTTGATTTATTATTGCTCATTGTTATCATCATACTTAGATTGATCATTATGTTCCATTCTAAATTATAGTTTTAAATTATAATAATATAAAAAAATGATTAGTACTGATAGCAAGGGTTTTTATATTGAGAACTTAGGTGAACTTAACAAAGAGCACTCTCCATCACTACCAATGAATTTCCCAAAGGAAAGACTTCCCTGTAAGATCTATAAAATTACTCTAACTATTATGATAGCTGAATTATGCGAGGAGGCTTTGATAAAAATGTCATTATGCGTATTTTAGAATTAGTCTAATTTATGTGGACAAGAAAATAGAGTCTACTATAATTGCAGAAAGGAGAGAGATGCTTAAATATTCACTAGAATTAAAGAGTGGGAGATAGAAGAGATACAAAAGATACCTGAATTTGATAAAAGACAGAGTTATTATGATGAATTAGAAATCAAAAGGGCGTAGATAGCTAAATAATTTGAACGAACTCCTTCATCAATGCCAAATAAGAACAAGAGATGGAGGATGGCTGCTGATATTGAATAATTGCAGTGGAGAATGGAGAATATTAAAAGTTTTATCAAACCATAAATTTGATTCATAAACAAGATTTTAACATTAAAGCAAATCAAACATTATATTTGAAGGCCGGGGTTTTGGGGTTTTGGGG